ATTTTGTCCCACACATGAGAAAAGTAAAGAAGGTGGTATCTTTTTATATTATTCTCATTCTCATTCTCATTTTGTCCCACACATGAGAAAAGTAAAGAAGGTGGTATCTTTTTATATTATAGGCTGAAATACCTCTAGGAATGAAACGATAGTAATGAAATTTGTGATGTCTTGATTGATTATGTTTCCTGTTTCTTAAAGTTCCTTGTTTATGTTTATTACATAAACACCTATTCATTTCACCTAAAAATTTAACTCTGTAGTTGAATTTCTACATATGGCTCTGTATAGAGTGTGAAATTTGAAAGGGTACTTAAAGGGCATTTTAGAGGAAGCATAAATAGTCATATAATTAACTATTAATCTGTTAAAAATGTTAACAACTTACCACAAAAAGGGTACTTGTCATTGGTATCAAAAAATGCAGTGATCCTGAGAGGCCATCTTTGAATTCTCATTTTTGAACTCTCTTCCCATTGCTCAGCATAAAAATCTGATATTTAAAAAAATATTAGAAATCAAATATCTATTAAATAAAACACAAAAATTATAAATAACCAAATGATCTATGTATATCATCATCTTTAACATTATGGATTTGATAACGCACAATGAATTTTTCAAATAATGTAGCATTTTGTTTATTTTCAATATAATAATGACCTGTTTTATTTATTTATTCATTCCTTTATTTTCAGGAGTGCTGAGGATTGAACCCAGGGCAATGTCACTGAGCCCCAGACGTCATGGGTAGGACTTAAACCAGCATCCCCGTCATGAAACATACACTCCCCAGACCTTTTTGTATTTAATTCATTCATTCATTTATTTTCACCTCACTGAGTACTCAGTTGCTCAGGCTGGACTTAAATTTTTGATTGTCCTGCTTCAGCCTCGCAGTCTCTCTGAGCTCTGAGATGACAGGTGGGAGCTGCCATGACCATTATAAAAGTAAATCTCCCATCGAGGATTTGCAAACACATCCACCCCTTGAAAGTCTTAAGAGAGCTTAGCATTGACCGTACAACTACACCCCACATGTGACAGCACTTGCTACTATATTCTCAATGCAGACTTTTACCTGTAATTCTCATTATTAAACTGATTACATAAAACCTGAATATACAATTTAGTTTCATTAGTACAGCCCTCAATTTTTCTGTTCAAGTATATGTATAGATAGTCTATGTATATATGTATCATATATATATTTAATAAATATAGTTATAATGCAAAGAACATTTATATACATTATGTATTATATAATTTATACATTTTATATATAAAGAAGTGGTATATATTCACACATTTAAAAATTCAAGTGATTTTTTTTTTCAGGTGCTTCTTGACACCTAGATTTGTATTTTAAAAATTTGAGATTTAAATATAGTGGAAAAGACACATAATTGAGAATTCAGAAGTTCTTACTTAGGTTCTTAAGTAATCCATATATTCTTTGTAATCATACACAGGAAAGTGATAGGTCAGAAAAACAATCCCCAAATGAGGTCTTAAGAAAATGAATCCCATAGGATGTCTTATGGAAAGAAGACAGCTGTGAAAATACATATTTGGCAAAGCCAACATTGAGCATGCCTCCTCTTTCCATGTGCTAATATTTAGTTTTGCTGAAAATAAGTGGTTGCATATGGTTCATTTCAGGCTTTGTACTCACTACTCATTTCCAGAGCTTGTCTATCTTTGGAGACAGTTCCGCAAGTTTTTTCTGTGATACCAAGAAGGATAAGATGTTTACAGGCTTACGGCATGCCCTTCGGGTCTGCTATTCTCTTTGGAAAACACTGAACAGTCTCAGATGCTCTCCAGTTCTACCATTCTATTTTCAGGTGTGTTCCTTTGTATTTATAATTTCCCACTGGAAGGCTTTGGTGTTCAAAAGCTAAACGCTTAACTGCTCTTACCCAGCTTTATTGATTCAGATGGTGTGAATGTGTATGATTTATGGCTACTTGCTGGCAGCAAATGAAAGGTTGTGTATGGTACACTCCTCCTCATTTGCTAAAAAGATTTTCTGCTTTTTGTTTTTTAGAGAAAAACTGCAAGTGCTCCAGAAAAGAAGCAATTTTCCTTCTTTAAGTGGAAATGTAAGTGAATGATAGTTACATCCTTTTGAATATCAAGAACAGGAATGATGATGAGGTCACTGGAATTTGCCCATTATGTTCAGCATGAAAAAGCATCAGTGAGGTCCTTTCCAAAAAAATCTTACACTTAGTCAGAAATAAAATATATATTCTGTACCATATCTCCACATACAATTTTGTTCCTTTTTTCTCGGTTATGTAGTTCAGGTTGACCTTGACATCATAGCAATTCCCTCGGCTCAGCCTCCTACGTACTGGGATGACAAGTATGTGTCACCACACCCATTTATGCAGATAATTTCTCCATAAAATATTAACATATTAACATAAATGGAAAGCATAGTTTGGTTTCCAGCAGAAAATGCTTGTATGATTAGGTTTTTTTTCTAAAAACACTTTTATTATATGTTTTCAGTACATTGAGGGAAATTGGTACATACATTATGGAAACTTGAGCCGTTCTGTTCACCTTTTTCCACTCTTCTCCTTCCAGCCCGTCACGCTCAGATCCCCTTCTCATTTTCAAAAGTCTGTTTGCCTTCTAAATGAATTATAGTAATCAATTCTCTTACCTAACCTAGGGCACGAGTTGTTCTGAGAACTGCCACAGTCGACGCATAAACTAGTCTTGTAATCTCTGTATGAATGACAAGGAAATGAAACAAAACTGCAGTTTGTTTGCAAAGCTGCCATGAACAAATAAACTGCTCTCTGGTGGTTGCATTTAATGTATTCTATTCCTTGAGGGTGAAAAAACAAGCAAAAGAGGTGCAGATATATCAAACCAAGTTCAAGTAAATCAAAGAAAACTTTAAAATGAATTTCTACTGAATTGTTTACCTTGTGAATATGAACGTTTTAACTGTAATACACTATATTTCAAGACATTAAAGACAATACCATTGAAACTTTAAATTTAGCATGTTTTTTACATGAGATTAACAATACATCTTCATAAGGTAATAATGCTTAATGAGAAAATATATTTAACTTCAATATATGACATGATATATACACAGATGTGCCAGTATACTTAATAATTAACTTGTAAGCCCACACCCCTAAAATTTTGGGTTAATATAGGAGATGTCTACGGAAGCAGAATTTCTATGCCATAAAAACATCATTAGCTCCCTTCCTCTCCCCACCTCTCTCAT